ACCCATCCCTTTCTCCCCAGACCATTCCCCCCCCCACACACACACACATAAACACACACACCTTTTCTTTTGAACAAAACCCTTTCAGGACTTCTATCAATATCAGATCCAAACTCACAAACCAATATTTCCCTCTTTGCAGGTCGCCTCCCAATCTAAACCCAGGCTTTGGAGCCCCAATTTTGCTTTCCCCTTGGTTCTCTGCACCGTTTTTACAATGATGGCCTCTCACTGTCACCACAGGAGTCTAGTCCTGGTCCTATGAGGTGACTGAGTTGCCCTCAATGGGAGCTGTGGGTGCTCAGCACCTGCCAAGTTTGGGCCTTCTCAATTTGTTCAGCCCTGCTAGCGGGATCAGCACCATTCAGAACAAACAGGAGATGTTTCATCCTGTCTCCCAGAGTTTTAAAATCTTTTTTAAAAAAATCCACCAAGGAAGACTCTCAAAGCACCTAATGAGGACAAGCCCAGTAAAAAGAACCTAGTGGGACAGGGTTATTTGGTTTCTTACCAGCTTCCCTGGGGAGAAGATTAATACTTTCTTCATGTCGGTCTTTATGGCAGAGAGATGTGTGTTTTGAGGAAGGAACTGAAAGAGGAGAGGGGTGGTTCTTCTTGTGAAGTTGGATATGGAGAGCATTTTAGGCACAAGGAGATGCATGAGGGAAGCCATAGAAATAAGAGTGGGAAGAGAAAGCAGAAAGGTAGGAGGTTCTGGTTGAGAAAAGAGCTCAAGGGCTGAGGGGGTATGGAAAGTGGGAGGAAGATATTTGTGCTGTGATGTAGGCAGAAGGGGAGATGGTACCAAATCTTAAACATAAAGACAGGGATCCTGGATATGATTCAAAAGGCAACTGATAGCATGGAACAGAATAGTGATAATAACTAGTATTCCTTTAGAATTTCTAGCAAGAGAAATAGAGACACCAGTACATGGGGGAAGAGGGATTGCTGAAAATTGGAAATTCTGTTAACAGTTGTCCTCTTGATTATTCTCAGTGTGTTAGTTTTTATAATCAGCCACACTCACTTCAAAATAATGCAACAAAATAACCACCCTTAATGCCAATTCTTCTTTCAAATACATGCATGCAACCAGCCCAAGTGCTGCCTTGCGATGTGCACACCATACTCCCCCACTGCCCTCTGCAAACAAGGGCAAAATCTGGCCCTCACAGAAGATTCCATAAATACATTTCTGCACGTCAGCCCTATACAATCACTGTTTGTTGAGATAACAATCTCTGCAGAGAGCCTGTCATTTCCTCCTAAACATGGAACTTGTTCATATTAACTTCATGGACCAGATCCTCAGCTAGTGTGAATGGCCATAGCTCTATTGATTTCAATGCCCAAGTGCCTATTTACTCATCTTCATTTGCTGTGTCTTCCTCTGGTGTGTTTGTGTTAGTTGTTGGTTTTTCGTTATTTTCCACTGCATTCTGGACTATTTGTTGTATGGTTTTGTTCACGTTTTGCTTTTCCACAAACTCCTAATAAAATGCTTGGCTACAGATTATCCAAATTGAACACTGATGTTCCGAGCAGCTAATTGGGTAACTGGGTTCAAAGTGAATTCTAAAATGTAACTCTTGAAAACAATGGATGCAAGGCTACAATTTATTGTTGCTGGCTGATTGTGCATTCTTTTGGAATTCACTTTAAAAAGCAACATATGTTTATTTTTCTCATGCATATGAAAAAAAGCAAATATTTAATCTTTGGCACTTTGATTATATTTATAGTGAGAAAAAGGAAGTATTTAAATCCTGACCCATCTCAGGATTGCTAATGTGATAAATGTTAGTACTTTTCCTCCAAAGATCATAAAGCACTTTACTAATATTAATGAAGCCACATAACACCCATCAAGGAGTATGGAAGGAGTGTATAGGAATCTCTCAAAAGAAAAAAGCTGCAGGATGTCAGCAATAACAGCACATGAGCACCTTCCCAGCCTCACAAGTGACCTGTCATTATCAGCTGGACAATTACCTTAACTGAACTTTTCTAAATAGTTCAGTTTCTAAACCAATTTAGCTACATCCGTGCAAACTGTTCTGTGGACACTCTTATTTCAGCCTGAGAGTATCCTATGTTGATTTATTATTTAAGTAAGTACATAAACTGTGTGTAGACCAGCCCTTAACTTTCAGATCCAAGAAGGTAGTTAAGCACATCCAGAACCTTAAACACATGAAAAGTCCCACTTGCTTAAGTATCTACTTGAATCGGAGGCTTTGTATGCTCATGTCATCTCTTGGGAGTTGGACTATATGGAAAGGGATGAGTTGGAGCAGAGGGAAGGTCAGGATATCTTTTGAAAGCCCAAGGGAGCTGGAACAATGGCTGAACTCACATAAACTAAATGTGTCTTAAAAGTGACCTGCAGGGAAAAATGGGATTGTGTCCTTTTGGCCTTGTATGAGATAGATATAGATACATATGGAGAGAAAGATAGGGTGATCAGACAGCAAATGTGAAAAATCGGGATGGGGTGGGGGGTAATAGGAGCCTATATAAGAAAAAGACCCAAAAATCGGGACTGTCCCTATAAAATCGGGACATCTGGTCACCCTAGAGAAAGAGAGCATTTATTGTGGTTACAAAGTGGTTAGTAAATAGCAAAAGTTTTGTTACTTCAGTGTAAAAATGTGTATTCCCACATATAAATTCATTTGTTAAATAGGTATGACCTTTGATGTATATTTATAAATTATATTGAGAAATAAAATCTTCACAGATCTGAACTGAAAATTTATAATCCATGGTTTTATGTAGTCTTTTAAAAAGCTATTAGCTTCCTTGCCTTATGATTTAAATAACAAGAGGATAAATTATTAAACAATCTTAATTATAAGATTAGTTATTGTACTGTGAAACAATTGTTTTTATAGACATAGGCTAATGCTATCATTACAAAGTAAAATTATATTTAACATCGGTCATAACAACTACCCACATAATCCAAATAGATTTAACATTCATTCTGAATATATTACATGTATGATTTCATCCTAGTAAATCTACTTGAAAATACCAGATGCACAAGTAACGTGCATATTGCCCTCTACTGGATACTTTTTGAATTCCCTGTACAATTCAATATAATACATTATTGGAGGCTGAGGGGGACATTGTTTAAGTAATGTTAAACAGACCTGCCAAATTTAATCTGAAGGGAGACTCCTTTGTTTTGCATTAATTTAAAGGGAGTTTAAAAGCATATCCCTCTTATTCAGAAAGATTTTTCTTTGGTTTGCAGTGAGACATTACAAATCTCAGACCTATGGCTTATATGAGATTTATTACATTCCATGCTTAATCTTGTGTGAAAGCTCATATATCACATATGCACTGTAATACCTTAGACACATAAGATTGTGTTAAGGATACAGGGTCAGATTCTGAACTCAGTTACACTGGTGCAAATGCAGAGTAACTCCAGTGAGTGCCTATCCTGGCCTTATTATCTTAATAACTCACTTTTGACTTCAGCAGAGTGACTCTCAGTGTATCTGAGATCAGAATCTGGACCATCACATTTAGTCCTTTTTGGCTTGATTCAACAGGCAAAAGGTATGGAGGCAGAAGTCCAAGTGGTATGTTCTCATTTTTATAATTATTTCTAAAGCACCCACAGTGCTCTAAGGTAATTTTTTCAAATGTGCCCATGTGACTTAGGAGCCTAACTCCTATTACTTTTGATGTGGTTTAGGCTCCTAAACCCCTTTTGTAAATGGGACTCAGACTTTGCAAAGCTGAGCAGCACAACACCTAAAACTCAGTGTCTACATTATTTTTAAAATGAAATTTAGGCTCCCAAGTTACTTAGGAAAATTTCACTTGATCACTGGGGTCCAGATTTACAGAGGTATTTAGGCTTCTAAATTCCATTGATTTCAATGGAAATCAGATTTTGTGGATCTGGGCCTTCGTGATTTAATAGAGAGTTTTGCCTGCAAAAAGATTTCAGGATCAGACCCTTTCACCATGAATGTTTATGAATGTTTTTCCTTGTGATTTTTCTTCTTTCAGTCTTTCCTTCCAGAGATTCCATCAAAACTTAAGTTAGATCCCCCAGCTTTGTTTTGGCTTGCATACACCTGCAGTTACCAGCAAACACCCTGGGTTTGTTGGTGGGTCGCTTAGCAAAGGAGCTGACATTTTAACAATGCAGTAACTTTTGTTTGAAGGGCAGCTGGATTTGTCTGCCTTGATATGTTATTTTTAGGGAAGGTTAAACTTTGGACTTCTCAGCCTTGCCCCTTTAATGCCTACTTGAAAAGCTCCAAAAATATAATCCTTCACCAATGACATTTGAGTTTTGCAGCTTCTTCAATGTGATGGAAATGTAATGGAACCATTATTTTTCTTAATATGTATACTATGAATGGATCCTGGGGGCCATAAAATGTCAGTGGAAGTGTATGAAGCATTTGCAGATTGACACAATAACCCACAATATTCCCTTCTGAGCTGAGCAGTGGAGCCTTGATCCATATTTCATTGACAACATACTGTGGATCCCTTGGAACCAGTTAGGGTGACCAGACAGCAAGTGTGAAAAATCAGGACGGGAGTGGGGGGTAATAGGAGCCTATATAAGAAAAAGACCCAAAAATCGGGACTGTCCCTATAAAATCGGGACATCTGGTCACCCTAGAACCAGTACTGAGGACAGTGTCTACTGGAGCTTGCATATATCTTGTGTGTACCTTGGCAGCAGCAGCCTTGTCACTTTGTGTTGTGATACTATTACACTACACATGCTGTGTTGGGTCAGTACTTGGATAGACCTCCAACGAATAACTAAGGCTACACCTACACTGCCAGTGGGGTGTAATTTGCAGCTTCTGTAGACATAGCCAGGCTAGCTTTAATATCTAGCTCACTAAAAATAGGAGTGAGGATGCAGCAGCATTGGCTTAAGTGGAGGTTAGCCAAACATGTATGTAACCAGGGGGCCAGGCAGGCTTTTACAACCCATGATAACACATCCCTATTGCTATTTGCAGCAAGCTAACTAGGGCCATGTCTACACTACCAATTTGTGTAGACAAAAATGATGTTGACAACCAAAAGTCGACATGTTAAAAATCACAATTTCATGTTCACACTTGCTCCCTCTGTTGGCAGATCATGTCCACAGTGGGGGCACCATCATCAACAGCGTGAGCAATGCACTGTGGGTACCTGTCCCACAGTGCTTCTGTTGCTAGGTGTTGTGGGACGATGGAGTGGATCACGGCACAACTTGGGACAGTGCTAAATGTCCCATGATGCATTGCTTTCTGTCCCAGCACTCTGTGGTCTTCCGGCTTTCTTTCGTGGCATTTTTTCAATGGCCCTTCTTTGCCGTGCACCTTTGTGAGAAGGGATAGATCCCGCACTGCTCTCCTGTGCTCTGTTGACTATCATGAAGACATCGCAGATGGCAGTGCAGTTAATCATGACGTTCATAACTGAAGAAGACTCGCAAGCGCCCGACATTCTGCGTGATATGGATAGGAGCAACTTTACATTGCTTTTGGCATTCACAGAGCAGATGCATAGGGTAGACCGTTGCTTTTGGGCTTGTGAAACAAGCACTGAATGGTAGGATCGTATCATCATGCAGGTGTGGGATGATAAGCAGTGGCCACAGAACTTTCGGATGTGGAAAGCCACCTTCCTGGAACTGTGCGTGGAGCTCGCCCCAGACCTGCGGCGCAAGGACACCAGAATGAGAGCTGCCCTCTCGATAGAGAAGCATGTGGCAATTGCTGTGTGGAAGTTGGTGACTCCAGACAGCTACTGGTCGGTCGTGAATCAATTTGGAGTGGGGAAGTTGACCGTTGGGGCTGTGTTAATGCAAGTGTGCAGGGCAATAAATCGCATCCTGCTACGAAGGACCATGACTCTGCGAAATGTGTGTGAAATAGTGGATGGCTTTGCAGAAATGGGTTTCCCTAACTGTGATGGGGTGATAGTTGGCACAGATATTTCAATTTTGGCACCAGACCACCTTGCAACAGAGTACATCAATAGGAAGGGGTACTTCTCCATGGTGTTGCAGGCATTTGTGGATCACTGTGAGCGTTTCACTGACATCAACACGGGGTGGTCTGGGAAGGTGCACGACGCACGCATCTTCAGGAACACTGGCCTGTACAGAAAGCTGCAAACGGGGACTTTCTTTTCTAACCAGAAGATTACAGTGGGGGGTGTTGAAATGCCCATAGTGATCCTGGGGGACCCCATGTACCCCTTACAGCCGTGGCTCATGAAACCTTACACGGGACACCGGGACAGCACTAAGGAGCGGTGCAACAACAGGCTCAGTAGGTGCTGGATGACAGTTGAATGTGCCTTTGGCAGATTAAAGGTGCGCTGGCGATGCCTTTATGGCAGGTTGGACCTCACTGAGGATAATATTCCAATGGTCATAGCTGCGTGCTGTACGTTGCATAATTTCTGTGAAGCTAAGGGTGAAAGGTTTGCTCAGGAGTGGAGTGCTGAGGCAGTCCGCTTGGCTCCTGATTTTGAGCAGCCAGATACCAGGGTTGTCAGAGGAGCCCAGAGGGGAGCTATTCGAATCAGGGAGGCTTTGAGGCAGCACTTTGACAGTGACCAACAGTAACATATATTCTGTCTGAGCTGCTTCAATATTACATTACATGTAGTTTTCCTAGGGGGCAATGGTGACATTTGTGGCCTTATATTCCTGTAATAAAGTGATTAAAATGCCTGTACATGTATTGGGGTTGCCTGCAATCTTACCTTGTGGAAAAAAATTAAAGACGATTTACCATTATAAAAGTTTGCTTTTATTGCACAAGAAATAGCACACAAACACAGAGATGCTTGGCGGGAAAGGAGGAACCAGGAAAGGGCAGACTTTCATAGCTGTGTGTAGGTCCAGCTATCATTGTGAAAGTTGTCCGAGGGGGTAAAGTGAAGGGGAAACCAAGAAGTCCCGGAAAGTGGAAAGGAATGTGTGGGTGGAGTTGGGGGGGGGGGCTGGAAAAGAGTTCTGAATGTGCTGCAGTGGAGGTCGAGCACTGATCTGCTCAGTCTGCAGCATTATTAAGGACTTCAGCATCTGTGTTTGCTCCTCCATTACTTTAAGCATCCGCTGAGTAGCATCCTTAACAAATGCATGATTCTCTTTTCTGTCCTGCCGTTCTGCTTCCCAGCTCTCCTTTCTATCCCTTTTTTCTGCATTGGAGCACTGCAGGACCTCCCGGAACATATCTTATTTGCTGCATCTTGGGTGCTTTCTTATCTGGTGGAGATGCTCAGCCGGGGTGCGTGGGATGTTCCTGAAGGCTACATCTGGTGAAAAACAGGGGACAATGCACAGAAGCGGGATTTTTAAATTCACACACTGCACTGAAACATTTCTGTTAAATACACCTTTTGCAACATTTCCATCGCTTTCTCACCGACTCTAGCAAGGAACACATCTCTGCGAACACCCAAAACATGGTGAGCGTTGGCAGGGTGGGGGTGGGATGCTCTACATGGGGAAAAGAGCACACACTCTTTGCAAGGATTGTGGTGCAGCACTCTAGGGAACAAATTCTAATATTCTCCCACACTTTTCCACAGGTGGGAGTAATTCTAGCAGACATCTCATTGCTAAGGGTAAGCAGGGAAATGAGGGTACATCTACTCCATGCTTGTGGCTTCCGCCCTGCTCCCTATGCTGGTCGCCTATGTGACGCTTTGGTCCCTACACAAGTGATTGCCAAATGGGGTGGGAAAGTTTCCTACAATGGGGAAAGGAACAAAGCTGCTCTGCCATGGAACCTTCAGCAGAGGATTACCGAGTACCTCCAGGAAACTTTCCTGGAGATCTCGCTGGAGGATTCCCGTGAGATCTCGACATGCATCAACACCCTGTTCTGCCGTACCAATTTGCTACACAGGGAAATATCCAGCTCACAGAAACCCAGCCAACCTCCCACATTTCTATACACCAAACCCACCTCCACACTGCACAAGCCACAGCCACTTACCAGGAGTCTCATCTCCTGCTTCTTGCTCGCTGGAGAGCAACTGCTGAGACTTGCTAGACACCTCTGGAGTGGAGAACAGTTTCTGGCTGCCTGCCCCACCAGGCGACCCTGCCAGGAGCTGCACATTCTCATCTAACTCCACCTCTTCATCAATAACTTTGTGCCCTCCGGAGTATCCATGGGGCTCTTGGCGATGGAGACGGAGTCGCCACCAAGGATAGCATCCAGCTCCTTATAAAACTGGCTTAAAAAACTTATAAAACTTAGGTGAAGCACCTGAGCCACAGTTTGCCTCCCTTGCCTTATGGTACGCCTGCCTCAGCTCCTTTATCTTTGCTCTGCACTGCAGAGTGTCCTGATCACAGCCCTTTTCACACAAGCCTCGAGAAATGTGCCCGTAGGTATCCCAATTCCTACAGCTCAAGTGCAGCTGGGACTGCACAGCCGCCTCTCCCCATATACTGAACAGATCCAATAGCTCTGCAGTGGTCCAAGAGGGAGAGCGTTTGCTGCAATAACTCACCATGGTCACGTGGGAAGATGCAATGAGACCTCTCCACGCCAAGCAAACAGGAAATGGAATTTCAAAAATTTCCAGGGCTTCTAAGTGGTAGGGGTGGATGGTTGTTTACCCGGCTGTCAGGCAGTGGATTCAAATTGCTGACCAGAGTGGTCAGGATGGGTATTGTTGGACACCTCCTGAAGGCCAAATAAAGTGATGAAAGGAAGCATGGTGTCTACACTTGCACTTTGTCAACCAAAATATAGATGAAAAAGATGTAAATCTCTCATGAGGGTCAGGGCTGGCTCCAGGGTTTTGGCTGCCCCAAGCAGCCAAAACAAACAAAAAAAAAGCTGCAATCGCGATCTGCGGCAGCAAGTCCTTCGCTCCCAGGCGGAGTGAGGGACCGTCCGCCGAATTGCCACCGAATACCTGGACGTGCCGCCCCTCTCCAGAGCGGCCACCCCAAGCACCTGCTTGAGAAGCTGGTGCCTGGAGCCGGCCCTGATGAGGGTGGATGTATTTTGTTGCCAAAACTGGGCATTTTCCCTGACAAAAGACACCTTGCAGTGTGTACATACTCACTGTTTGGGTCAACAAATGGCAATTTTGGTGACAAAACTTGGTAGTGTAGACAAGGCCTAGGTTAAAACTAGTGCAGGTACTCTACACAAGCTGTAAAGTACACCATCAGTTGCAGTGCGAACACAGTCTGAGAGTTGCATGAAGTGTTAATGCAGGGGTCGGCAACGTTTGGCACCCTGGCGGGCCGGGCCAGTTTATTTACCTGCTGACGCGGCAGGTTCGGCCGATTGCGGCCCCCACTGGCCGCGGTTCGCCGTCCCGGGCAAATGGAGGCGTTGGGAAGCGGCGCGGGCGAGGGATGT